GTCGCAATAGTTTTGTCTTCTGTTATTTGTTGCTTTAAAATGCAGTCGTTTGAATATTCGATATTTAACGAGGGCTGGTATTAATGAAACTATAAAAAACACTACGTCCTGAAATTTGTCTTTTCAAGCTTTAAATTTTATGTTTTTCAGGTTTTGCCGAAGCACTCCACTGTCAATGAAGTAGCTTAATGGAACGATTTCGATTAAAGGCTATACTATACTCTTGGCATCTTTATCTTTTCGATACTCTAAGTCCGTATAATCGGCAATTTTCAATGCTCGCCTCCTCAACTCCATAAGTTGATGCAAATCCCGCCTTCGGCGACATCTAGACGTCGTTAGTTTGCATGAGATCAGCCCGTTACAATCTATATGCTCCAAGCTTTTCCAATTTTAAAAATAATCCCAAAACTGGTGACCCCGCTACTAAGGGCTTATCGCCGGAATATGTTTCCCATTTCTGGGACATTGACAATAAGTCAAGCTTATTACGATGCATAAATCGCTAAAGGTCCATTTAAGACGGAACCAATAACATTCTTAAGACGGATGTTCTTCCCTATTACCCTCAGATAACGGCAACAAGCCACTAAACATGATATAGTGAGGGAGGAAGACTTAACATTTCGCGACCAGGATATTAACTTACCTACATAAGATCAGATGGCGGATCGGTTCGAGAATTTATGGGAATTGTGTGAAGATTATTTCGTGTTTACTGGCATTTTTTAGTTGGAATTTTTTTATCCCTCTACTGCTTATGATTATGACCTATATAAATATATAAATCTGATTGTATTTTACAATCAATACAAGTAAAATAATAAATAAATATCATTATCAGAATGAATCATCATCCTCGTCATCGGTCATCATCCGTACTTTTTAACCGCTAATACAACCGAGAGAAAAGGGGAATTACTTTTCTAATGACAGAAGTGTTATTTACACTCAAATACTATTGTTTCAGTTCCCATAAAAGAGCAGCTAATACTAATAGTAGTTCATAAGGTCTTTAGTTCTCAATATAGGCAGTCTCAGCCTTATTGATATTAAGCCATCAAAATGAAATTAACGGTCATATTCATCCTTGGTGTATTGTTGGTGAGCGTATTTGTGGGACAAAGTGAAGCTAGGTGGACGGGCTGGAGAAAAATTGTAAGTTTAATTTTTTAAATTTCTGTTGTACTTATTAACATTTTTTTACATTTATTCTACATAGGAGAAGGCAGGAAAACGGGTCTTTGAACATTCGAAAGAAGCACTACCGGTTGTTCAAGGTTATGCAGCAGTAGCTACCGCAGTGGGAAAGAAATAACATAAATCTAAAATATTTGTTTTAGATTTTCATTTTAACATTCATATTTATTATAATTATTTATTCAGTGATAATGCATATTTTTTTACATTGTTATACAAAGTGGAATTTTTAATTGGAATAAAATTCATTACTTAAATATAAGCGATTTTTGTAAAAAATCCTGAAACAGGTCGATTTTTACTTTTCCTTGTGCATCGTTTATGTTGGCGCATGGTGTTCGTTTTTCGAGCCCCACCATGGGGATTTCAGTTATTATAAGAGATACGAGATCGAATAAATTAGGACAAAGTTGCGTATTTTTATGCTAGGCTGAACAATAATCTAAAAGAAAATTTAATGTGTCATTTTTAGTTTTTGAATTATTGGAAAAAACTGAAATTTGTAATTTCCGTTTTTATTTTTTCAAGCGAAAACTAAAAGACCTACACGTTTTTAACTAGGACGTTCTTGAGGCACTTTTTTACAAGGAATCTAAATCTGTCATCGTATTTTCCAAGGCGCACTTGATATCAAAGTTATAACACTATTCTATTCTATTCTATTCTATTTCGATGCATTTTTCTCTAAAATGGAGATTTCAACTTTTGTCATTATTATTTTAAACAAAAAAATACTCTTACAAAACGTTAGGTGACAAATTAAATAAAACTTTTAAGTTGTCACAAAATTCCGTCAAAATCCCGCCAAAGCGTCGCCGCGCCGTCGTCTAAGCTACGCGCCAAAATTAGGAAAAGAGACATCTGGCCCATCAACTGTAAACTATTCAAATGGGGAAAACATTGAGGTTTTAGTACCATCTATTGGCGGCTGATTTTCTCCTATAACAACTGAGATCCCCATGGTGGAGCTCGAAAAACGAACAGCCCTGTATATGGTTTTTATTTATCTGAGCATACCATACATGTTGTTAATAGTGCCTTTAAGGTGCTAGGATATACAGGCTGAGTCACATATGTATAATAAAGACAATGACCGATTTTCAGACGCAGCCCAAAATACATTCTCAGATGCCACTATGTGTTACTTGATGTACCGTTTGAAATTTTTCGAAGTTTTAAACATAGATATCTGCAATAGCTTTGACAGTTTTCATAACTTGGCGTTCTACGGTGTACCTTTGACGGTACAGATTTAGCCCCACCATATTTGTGGTATTCTCCATACAGGCTCTTTACGGTCTTGGGGTTGAAATTTAAGTGACATGATATTCACGATAGAAGAACACTAATACGCTATATAAAACAAAAATTCACGCTATATGCGATATAATTCATTTTATACTATTTGTTTGAGAACTGCTGCTCCGGCAGCATTAATGGTCATTAGTATCATTACCTTGTGTTTCACCGTAAATCATAATCACGACAACCAATTTATTATTTTAATATTTGTCATACATGTTCATAAATTTGAAAAAAAATTAAGGAAAACGAATCAAACCTGTTGGAAACCATTTCGCTGGAAGAGATTAAACAGAAGATCTTCGAATTTTGATAAAAATTAAAACAAAAGCAGATCAAATGATGACAGTGTCAAAGCTATGAAGTGACTTTTCTCTTTTATTGTCATGGATACGATTTTTTATCCGTTGCAACCATACAATATTATCTGAACAAGGAAATAATTCCAGTGACCCTCAAACCATGTACCAATATTTTGAAGGTTAATAGCATTCTTAATAATAACAATTGTGCGAGTTTTTTTCTCGGCTACAGTATTTCTGTACTCTTCTATTACTAGGTCAATTTTCAACTCCAAGACTGTAAACATCCTGTAAACCAAGAAGTTTAAATACATTTCGAATCCAAGAGGAAATAAAAGTGGAATTGATAACTCTGTCATATTTAATGCATGACATATCAACAATCACTTTGATTTAAAATTAATATTTTAAACTTTGCAAAGGCAACAAAATCCAAGTTATCTGTGAGAATGTATTTTGGGTTGCGTCTGAAAATCGGTTAGGGTCTTTACGATATTTCTTTATTATATTTTCTCCGAATAAACGTCCAATGTCAAATTTGACAGATGCCTGCGATTTGTGAGACCATGGTCATTTGTTGTGGATATCATCCATTCAAAATCCCTACCTTTTGATTTCAGAGTTGTGCAGTCCTCAGTTTAAATTTAAATATCTTTGAAACGGTCCATTTTAGGGGTATTAAAGGTTATACGTTTTTTATTCGAAATTGATTACTCTATCGATTTGGGCAATAAAAAATTGGTGTCAAGGGAGTAGAAAAATGGAAAAACACAGAAAATGTGACCTGCAACTGCTGGAACCGGAAATTGAGTATGTATCCAGTTTTCGTGATTACCAGTTCAAAAGGTATAATACAAAAAAAATTGAATGTAGTAAAGAAGAAAAACAAATTATTACACTTGGGACGACCACAACTGCAAAAGGTCGCATTTTCACTGCCATCGGGTCACAGACTATAATCCCCTTATTGACGCCCTCGTCAACCACTTCTTCACATCAAAATTCTTGTATCGAAAGACATGTTTTTCGGAACATGAAGCCAGAAGAAAGAGAAACCCCAAATAAATTTATCATGAGATGTAAGTCACAAGCAGATAAATGCCTGTTTGTAAGATTGGAAGTGGTGAAGAAGAAGCTCAAGGAATCAATATTAAAGACAAAGTAATTGATATGTGGACACCAATCGAGTTAAGAAGCTTTTAGAAAACGAATTCCCCTGAGTGAAGTAATAGGACAATGTCAAATATACGAACAAAACCAAAGTAATATTATGCAAAAGAAAAATATTTCGCAACCCGATAGAAATGAATACCAAGTTAACCACATTAAAAATTCAAGGAAACGCAAGCTCAAAGAAACTACAGAATGCCCCCGATGTGGTTTCAATCACAACATCAAAGAGATAAAAAACTGCCCCGCTATCCCCCGCAAAGTAGAGAAAAAACTACATGAATCACTTGCTGATGATGTTATAGAAAGAGTAAAAAGAACCAAGCCAGTAGATTTCCACGATGGTAATGGTTTTCAATTCAGATGGGGTTTGATATAAGAATTTGTGTAGATATGAGGTGAACATTACCAATTTTTGACAACATCATGACAAAATTGAGAAGGGCCTGTTACTTTTTTCACTTAGACCTAGTCAGCACTTACCACCAGCTAAAACTCGAAGACAAAAGCAGACCCATCACTAGATTTATCACCCACAAATTTAATTATTGAGATTCAAAAAGCAAATCTTTTAAAAACTTGTAATATTGTAAAGAAATGTCTCAATAATAACGAAAAACATAATATCGTAAATAATAATTCATTAAGTTTCGAGGCGGAAGAGCTGTAGTGACGCTAGATGGAAAGATTTAAGGAGTTTTTTTACATTAATCTCATTTCAAACAATTTATCAACATCATTACTTGATAGCAATATCCGTAATGGTGAATCTTGCCTGACTGCAGGTCTAAACCGTCGGAAATTATGTGGTAGAAAATTATATGTCTTGAACAATTGTCTGCCAAATAATTTCCTCATTTTTGCCGGGTCAGATATAACTTTTTCACAACATTTTATTCTTTATTGGTCATCTCTGACGCTGTTTTGATAGCAAAACCGTCTAAACACAGATAGCGAATTAATTAAGTCAGTTTACGCATTTTCCCTTTGGTTTTCCTTATACTTATCACTAGTCATGTAAATTATTTTGCATCATAAGTTTCCTATAAAAGTCGCTACAAAATTATACGAAAATAATTCCAACGAGTATCTACAAGCAATGAAAACGTCTACTAACATTTTCGTTCTTTTTGCATTAATGTGTTTTGTTCAAGTGATGTGCGCACCAGAGCCAATAAATTGGAGAAGAGTGGTAAACTATTGTTTATTTATAATTTTAATGATTTAATTCACAAGTCAATAATACATAGGGCCGAAGAGGTTGGAAAATTGGACGCCAAGCTGTTCCTGTGATAAGAGACGGAGTCGAAATTTACACAATGCTACAACAACCATCTTATCCATACGGACAACCCCCATATTATTACGGAAATCCATATCAAATTCCACAGGGTTATCAACGTTTCCAATATGACCACCCCGTCCAGATGTACTGATTAATTGAATAACTTTTATGAGTAGTTTAATCAAGTTTATTCAAATTTTGATGTAAAGTTTTGAGTAAAGGAATTGTCAATACATTACCCTTTTTCTTGTGTTCTCAAAAATAACAAACATTTCCTTATATTTCCCGACCACCATAATGCACCATTACTTAATTTAATAAAATTCGAAGAAAATTTGCAGTTTTCTCTGTAACTGAATTATTGTGATACACAAGATTGTGCGTTTTCTTGCTTTGAAGAATTTCCAATTCCATACTTATGTTTATTTTTTGGGCTATTTTTTTTTGTTGCGGAATTAAAATTTCGGGCAGAATTGTCATTTTGCTAATGTAAACTCTAGAACCACCTTTACATTAATAACCTCATTTTTTACTCTTGTCATGTATATGTCATTTTGACTTATTTACTTTCAAAAATAGTGGCATAATAACGTGCAGACAGCAGATCAAAGCGATTACACTTAGTTTAATTAACAAATTTCCTAAAACAGAAAAATTGTTTAATTAACAATTTTAACAACAACAAAAATTTAATTGTCAAATTTCAGTCATGATGACAGTAAGAGGTAGTTTACAGTGAACTTTTTAAAGTGACAGAAAAATACTGCCCGAAATTTTAATTCCGCAACTGTACATAAAGCCCACTCGGATTTTATTGTCCAACCTGGAATTTTAAATTAGACTATACAAACCTTATATTGATGGAAAGCTTGGTACATTTAAAAAATACTTTTTGACATTTTAAAATTTGTCATGTTTAAAAAATCTCAGAAGGCAACTGAGCAGGTTGTTGAGTTCAGTTGGTTGCTTGTTGATTTGTAAATCAATATTGATAAGTAAAAGATAAGTAAAAACGACCTCTATAAAAGTAGTTTGTAATTTAGCATTTAATCCAAAAATAAAATCAAACTGAGTAGATTTTATTTAAGAAAAATACAGATGACAAAATATTCAATTTTAAAACAAAAGTTTCTAATAAACATGTTTCGAAAAATGCTATGTAAAGAAGCTACCTACATCCCCTAAAAAAGGTCCGTTTTTTAAAGGATTTTTCCCAATATTTCAGAATAGATAAAATTTGGTACAGCTTTATACACCTCAACGAATTCCAAGATGAAATGTCGAATTTTTTAATCAGGGGCGTCCTAAACGGTAAAACGAATTTGATTTTTAATTTTTATGCTGTTTATGGTCTGTAACATGAATTTTAAAACTGATTTTACTCAAAATCGATAAGTTGTATCAGCAAAACGCAAAAGACCTTTTTATGAAAAACTATGAAATTTAGAATTTTGTTGCTGAAAGTAGCAAAAAACTACTGTCAATATCTCTAATAATAAACAAGTTATAAAGCTTTTTACATCACCCTGTATCTTTCAAAACAACCGCAAAAATGATTTTTAAAAGTCTTCCAAACGTAACAAAATTATATTAAAGGAAATACAAAAACTTAGAGGGGCAAAACCTAAAACAAATTAGTTTTTATTCTCAAGGCCAATGTCGTATTCTGTGATCACAGCAACATCTTTCAATTAAAAAAATCTTTTATTTCTTATGACTTCTTCTGAAGTTCTTTACCCTCATAAATTCACACTGTGATGATTCAGTCTCATTTGACGCTCTTTTTTGATAAGTACAGATAATTGCATGTTAAATTTTAAATTTTAGATAACTTTCTTAACCCAATTTCCTGCTTGGTTTTTCCTCATTTTATTTCCCAACCACTAAAATTTTTACTTGCATCATTTGGATTATATATAACAGACACTGTCTGTTTGTAAATCAATCATTCCGAAATAAGAACACAACTGGTAAAAATGTCCATCAAAATTGTTATATTTTTTTCCTTAATATGTGTTATGCAAGTGATGGCTGCTCCAAAGCCTATAAATTGGTCACAATTGGTAAGTTTATTTTTTAATAACATAAAAACTTAAAGTAATTTATTGAAATTTATTGAAATAATAGGGACGAAATGCTTTGGATTTTGGCCGCAAAGCTGCTCCTGTGGTTAAAAATGGATGTCAATTGCTTAACGGTGCTCCTCCACCACCCCAGATTTATTACGTCAATGTCCCATATCAGAACCCACAAGGCGGAATTCCAATTCAATATGCACCTCCCGTTTCAAACAATATTGAAGAATTGGATTAAAATTTTATAATAGTAATGACTTGTTTCTTTAATAAAATTATAATTAATTCATTTAATCTCTTATTGTGGTATACCAAATCCTGGAAACAGCACTCCTTTATCATCAGTGTCTTAATTTCACTTTTAAACAAAAAGTGTTTTCCGAGTTACACATATCAAAATGATTGTTAGTAAAGTGTTTCTCTCTTTACTCCTCGCCATCAACTTTTGTGTAATTTTTCAAAATGTAAACTGTCGTTCTGTTCAATATCCAATACGAAGCGATGTAATTGTGACTAAGTATCCATCCCAAACTCAGGAAACAGTATCAGAGACCGAAAAACCAGGGTGGATGGTAATTTACCAAATGGTAGAAACCAAAAATATTTTTGTAAGTAATGTTGTTTCAGAGAAAGACACTTATGAAATTTGGAGAAGTTACAAGTCGATTGGGTAACGCAATGGGAGCTCATGCAACCAAAATAACGTCAGCTATTGACAAAGTTTGTGAAATTGTTAAAACGATAATTCCACTTATCGCTGCCGTTTGTCACGTAGGACAATTTAAATTTTGTACAGCGACATCGGAAGCCCCAGGACAACTCGCGGAAGCTCTAAATCCTGTCAGTTTAAATTTAGACGAACCAGACAAAAGGAGATAAGTCCGTTGTGGAAATATTTTATTTACATTTTTATATAAATTTAATGTCTTTGAAAAATAATTAATTTTATAATTAAACTCTACAATGTATTGTACCCAAAAACAAAAATGAATGAATAACAACTTAAGAAGTAATTATTTTTTTATGATAATATTGTTTGTCAGCTCACATCAATTTACCCATAATAATTAGAGTGTAATAAAAAAATTATGATTTTTTACTAACACCCGGGCACCAAATTTCGGAAAAGAACATAAACAATTAAAAACCGCCTGGAAAAAAATCTAAATTATTAAATTATTTATTAATATATTGCCGCAACTTACTATAAAACCTTTCTTTTTTACAAAAGTTATTTTATTCAATTTTTATCGAAAAAAATTTTCATATAAGTTTGACACAAAAAATCGCAGAACTTAAAAACAAAATAAAATTTCATTCTCAATTCATTTCTCTCATTTCATTCTCTCATTTTTTATAGCACTTTAATTATTATTATTATTTTTTAAAGACAAATAATTTTACAATTATTTGATTCGATACAAAATTAACTTTCATCATTTAAACTTTTGTTAAAAAAAACAAGAGTATTTTTTTTGTTTTAAGAAATAAAGGTATGTATTTTACATTATGTACATACACCCGGGGATAAAACTATTCACCAGTCTGAATGTAACAATGTATTTTGCAAGTATACAGTATGTTCCCGGATTAAGTTTACAAGAGGAAAAAAAACCTTTGATTTTACGCCAAAACTGCAAAGGAAAAACATTTTTAGCTTGACTTGACTTTTAAGGTTCTTTATCTACAACTTTGAAAAATCAAGATTGTGGAACTAGTTTTAAATGCCAGAATTTTTTAATAAAATGTGAATTTTGCAAATTTCTATCAAGTAATTTTTTTATAATCAAAATTCCGAACTTAATAATAGCCAGTTAAAAGGAAACAAATTTTTACCTTTGATTTGACGCCAAAAAAGCAAAGGAAATACTTTTTTTTATAGCAGATGTTAAACTATTTTTTTTTAACTCTTTTGAGTAGATAAACTAACACTTTAACAGCAAGGGTTGTTTTTGATTTATTTGAAACGAGCAAATCTGTAATTAAAACTTTATTATTCTGACTCAGTGGCAAGAAAAGTTTTTTTTTTCTTACTTTTTGGACTTGTATTAATAATCTTTCTTTGCTTTTCAAGTCCCATCACATTGGCGATTTTAATTTTTGACTACGATGTCACTTTGACAATTATTTAATTAATTGAATACTGATTGTTTTTGTTAAAAATTACTGTTTTTTTAGAAGCTGTTTTTTTGACTTGTCATTTATTAAAATTATGTTTTTTTACAAACATTTTTGTTATTTAACTTGGGTTAACTGAAAAAACGATATCTTTGTCAAAAAAATAAAACGCCAATGTGATGAGATTTAAAATGTAGAGAAAAAATTACACTATTTTACACGATTTTTATACCTTAGCTAAAAGTTAATTTCTTATATTTCTTGTACTAATACATCTCGAACTTACAACATAAATTTCACAATTTATTTAAATTTGTTTACAAGACAGATTAGATTTTAGATTAAGTTTTTGGCCGTTATAATTATGTAATCTTTAATTTAGTTAGCGAAAACAACAGACCTTGTAAGACTGAACAGATGATACCTGTAAAAAAACACCAATTTGTGTCTTATGATGTAAAAACCGTTAACAAACTAGCAAAGTCAACAATAAATTAAATCTAACAACATCGAAAACAAAAAAACTATGATGCCTACATAATAATATGAAAATTGACGGTTCTGTTTTTTCTAAAAAAAAAGAAGCTTAAAAAAATCCGAATTCATTTTTATGCTTAAGTTTAAGTCTTTTATCACCATTCGAGAGTTAGTCCCACATTTTTGAATCGCCCCTGTATGAAATTAGCTAATTAATAATTTTCGGTACCAGTAGTAATTTTGTAGGCAAAAAAAAAATCCTAATTATTATAATTAAGTAAATTACATGGAGTAGTTTTTCAAAACATAAACTAAATGAGACGAGTAAAATAAGCATCACCCTTACATATAATTTAAAGAAATTAATTAAATTAATTAAACTTTGTCCGTAATGCAGTTTTGATATCATTATCAGTTACTATAAATTCTAAAATGTAAAAAATGATTACCGTCATTGTTCTAATGTTATTTTTTCATCACAAATCTCATATTTTGTGTTACTGGGTATTGAGTGTTTCTAATTCATTATTTACTCACATTATGTATTTCTGTGGTGGTCGAATATATTTGTTTATATAAGTTTTACAAAAAGATACAAAAACGTAGATTTGTTTATCTAGAAAGTAATTGCAATTTTTAAGATGAGTTAAGTTGTTTACGTTGATTTGAATAAGATCGCGCATCGACAAGCCGTTGAGTTGATTGCAAAAGTGTCAGCTGCTGTAATAAAACGATGGCCCCAAACCCTTTTATGAGCAGATCCGATAGCCACAAGTGCCGAAAGCAATCTTAAAATATATTAAACGTGCCTGTGATAGAACGAAGATGGCCCACTGGCTATTATATTCTTGCTTCCGTGGAAAGTTTTCATCCGCACCGCTTTATCTTGATTCCGTTTCCGCAAGCAAGTGGCTTGTCACCTCTGCGGTATTCTCAGGGAATTTCACTTAAACACAACGGGACATTAAAATCAGCCCCCATCCAAACACAAGTCGCTGCTCTCTGTTAATGTGTTTGTCAAGTTGGCAGATTACAGCATCACAAACACGTTATTTGATGTATCCAAAAGCTCCTCGTCAGCATAGACTGAATATGTGCGCCCTGTTTACACCACATCATCAGAACTTGCGTTAATCAGAGAAGTGCTCCGATCTGAATACTGATGGAGCTCAATCTGCATAACTCGTGAGTAATAGCTCACCCCCTGTGCTTCGTTCACCTATTTATTATCGTCGACAGTGACCAAGACGGCGTCAAGAACTCGCGCACATCCGCATTCGAGGCATATATCCGCAATCTAGATAATCTAACGTGCGGAAACGAGCTCTCAATTCAATCAAGCCCTATTCGGGGGCGTTCGCGGCCCGTTGCGCACTTGTTACAGCCCCAATAAGCGATTCTGGCCCCATCATGGAAGAAAATCGAAGAGTATGTGCCAGTATTAGCATATAATTTCGCATGGCCGAGTCCGTTACTGTGTACTTAAGCTCGTGTGTTCCACGAGGATCGACTAACACAACATTTATTTGACTTACAAATTGTACGCACCAGGCTGTTCCATCAAAAGCTCTTGGCTCAGTTCATTTCTTAATGGAATTATCGCGATGCAATGTTTACCATCGCGGCAGATCTACTCCTTTCGGAAACGGCAATCGTCAGGATGAGGGAAAGGACGATTCTTGTACTCGTGTCGTTAGATAAATAAACGGTTTGCTCCAATCAACAGGGGTTTTAATTACGAGTAATTAATGAAATGACATGGTCCGATTCGAAGCGAGTCGACGCTTATTTATTTGGTGGAAGTGTTTTAACTAGCGTTGAATGCTGCCTTTACTCTTAATCAAATGTTAAGGGGGCATTGTACAGGATGCCTTTAGACTTTGTTCGCAGTTTTGATTCGTCTGCGTGATTAACCTCCAGTTAAATGGAAAGGATTGAGGACAGTAAACGTAACTCGGCTTGCCTTTGTGTTCACAGAGCGATTCTCTTTGATAAATTTCGAGAATGCTGCATCCAACAGGACGAACTTGATTTATAACGATAAATATGTCTACCTGCTTCATCTTGATTAGAAAAGCAAATTTCTCGTTTATAACAAACTACTAGAAAAATCATTGCTATTTCACCTGTTGCGTTTAAAGAAACCGAAATTTTTGAATACTGAAACGATGAACGACAACCAAAAATTGCATCGAATTCATAAAACTCAAAACTTGAAATTGCATAGATACCTACTTTAAAAACAAACAATATTGACCTTATTATTAAAAATAAATTAAGAAAATTACAATCACTCAAAATATTTGTATTAATAGAAAAATATCTAAAGAAAAAAATATTTTTTCGTTGATGTTCAACATTAACAGTCTACATTACATATAATAAGCACGATCAACGGTTAATATTTCTTTATCGTATCATCATCAATTAAGTTCGTTTAATGTTACACACTTATTGATAATTATGAAGACCATAATACTACAAACATAATAATAATATCTTCGATACAAACATAATACGTCAGATACAAACTCATAGTGACGTTATCCATTGATTCTTGAGTTTTTGACACCAAGTTTACCACAGTGGTTATTAAAACGATCTCGATCTGTCTTCTGCCCAACTGAAACTTTCTTAGCCAGGTTTTTAGCTACATACCTTCTGACAACATTGCGTGACTCCCATCCCTTCCATTCACCCAGTTCTTGCAAATCAAAGATATCTCCACCGCTGTTTAACAAGGTACATAAGTATAGTGTATAGTATGTAACTTCTAAAAATAAGTGAGAACAGAATCAATTGCTTTATTATTGCACCCTGGGTGCACAGCTGGGTATCAATTTCTACCCATAAACTATTTAAAACCCGTTGCAGCAGGTCAAGATTTTCCGATTTCTTGCAAGCAGAGCGACTTAGGAAATTGTTCTAGTCGAGAAAATTGTTATTTCTAAAAAAAATTCGCTACAACCAATAAAAAAAAACATTTTTATTAAAAGCTGTACAGAAAAAAAACATAGCATTTAAAATTGGCTATTGAATAGCTTAGTTTTCACACATAAAGCTTTGCATGGGCCTGGAAACCAGCCCAGCTGGCTAAATTCGAAAATATTTTTATTAAAATTTAAAACCACCGGTAGCCGTCTGTGGGTTTACCAAGGATAATTACATCCATAAGACAATTGACTCTGTTCTTACTTATTTGCAGAAGTACTAGAGATGATACGATAAAGCTTGAAATATAACTCGAAGATGTATTAGCGATTTAAACCATCACAGACGCTACGCAGGTGACTCGGCTACGCCTCGCACCTAGCAACGTCATCGATTGTTATAAATCGCATAATATTCTCGTTATACACACCCTACAACAATTATCGCATGACATTGTTTTTTAAATATACACAGGGTGTTCGGTCCAAATCGCCCCGTCCGATA